AAAATTCAGTTACTTTAAAATCATTGCTACRAAAATTGCACCAGCATTTTTACTATTTTTTGTCTTTTTATTCTAAACCGAACTTTTGGCCTAAATGCTGCGTGGCAGAAAACTAACACCCCTCTCATCACACCATCTCTGTAAAACCTGATGTCATGTAGTTCAGCTTCAACATGCAGAGATCAAAGTGGTTTCTCTGGTCCGTATTAAAACCTGGGTGTAGGGAGGAGGTCGTTCCTTTCAAGCTGTTTCAACTCAACTGTAAAATGAGATTTCCTTATTTTATGTTGTACTGAGAGTGATGGTTCGTTTAAAAAGACCTTAATAGACATTGATTCAGAAAACTGAGTTGTTCCAATAATATGCTCAAGGACTTTATGTTTTTCGGTGTTTATTTGTGCACAAAATTACTCAAAAGAACAAATCATTAAGTTTTGGTGTTGATCTGATAACATCTGTCAGAGCTGCAGCTCAGAAACTTAGAACAGAGCCAGAGGCTGCTTTTTACTGATGATGTCATACTTTAACAGCCAATCAGCGTCCAGCAGAACCTTGTTCCACCAATCACAGCTCAGCAGCTGCACGCTCTTATTTTATAAGCTTGGAGGGGGTTTGCAGGATTGTTTCTACTTTATTATTTATATTTTATTTTGTCCAGATTATATTATATTTCCTTTTTTATTTTCTTCTTTTTTTTTGGTTTTAGACGTTAAAAAATATTCAACTCATAATCTCGACTTAACAGCTTTTACATCAGTGGTTTTTAAACTTTTCAGCATCCGGGGGAAAAAAATATTAAACGTGATGGTATTTACAATATATCCATTTAGATAAACATATTTGAAAAGCAATTTTGAACTCCTGATGTGAAAATAGTAATTTCAACCCCCTCAGAAAATTAATAAAAGTCCTGGTTTGTATGTATTTGATGAAACATTGTTTTATTCTTTAAGAAATAATTTAAAATATGAAGGAAATCTGATTGCAGAGAGTCTTCCAGCTCAAAGATCAACTAAAACACTACTGTCTTTGTTTTCCTTCTCATGTCTTCATTTGATTGGACGCTCATTTTAATTAAAAATGTTTCATCAACAAACAGCTCATCTGTAAAAAAAAAATGCTGTGTCGTGATTTAAACCCAGCAGGCAGCCAAGTAATAAAACTTTTACAGCGACGCCCCGAAACAGAAGCAGTTTGCTGCAACACATTCAGAACTTTCTGCCCTCTGACTGACACTTCTTCAGCTTCGGCATCTTTTTTCCTRCAAACCCACGGTCCTCCTCTGGACCTGGACTTGCTGAGGAGCAGGATTGGATTCATTTTATGCACTCAGTCAAATAAACTGTTAAATACATTTAGCTACTTCAATTCAATCTGTGTGAGAGCTCCTGTCTGTCCTCCTTCAACTGAACACCGTCCAACTGCAGGGGGAGAGGTGTCCTCTTACTCTGGACACATAAATCAGGACTCTGGGAGTTTTATACCGAAAGTTTTGTTTAAAAAAACTAAAAAGTTGTGAAAGAATCACTTTTTTCCCCCACTGATTTGTCAAAAACTAAATTCTGGCTAAACTTGAACAATGAACTTTAAAAAAAAGGAAGCAGATTTGAAATGTCATGCAAAAAAAACAAACAAAAAAAGTCTTACTTCTCTTTCATCAGTCGTTAAAATCCCAAATATTCTCTAACGGCGTTCTTGGGTTTGTTTGCAACATGAAGCTAAAGAAGCGTCCGTCCAGCTGAAGAATGGAGACACATCTAAAATGACTCTACATGGGAATAATAATAAAAAAAAAAAAACTGCTCAGACTGATTGATGTGATCAATGTGCTCACAATTACAGGACGAGTAAAGGCAGGTGGTGGTAAATAAAGGAGAGGAGGAGGAGGAGGAGGAGAGCCACGCTGCTTTTATCAGCACTTTATTTTCAATTAGGCCTTCGTGCATCCACAGTACGCTCACTTTCTGCCATTTTTTTTTTGATGATGCAGGGACTTCTTGGACTGGAAATTGTGCGGTTAGCAAACGTCTGCAGCTTTGGTCATTTAAGGGAAGACGGTGCACTTCGAAGGCGACAAAGTTAAAAAAGAAAGATCTGATTACTGCTTTTATGATGAACAAGAAAATATTAGATCTTTATGAAAATTTTGAAAAGATTTATTCAGCGTGTCCGAGTGGTAAATCCTGATTTTATTACTGGGAAATCATCTAAAGGCACATTTTCAAAGCAGGACAGGAAATAAAAATAAAACGTGCTTCTTTATAAGTTAAATTCCCAGTAACTGATGATAAAAAAGGGACTGAAACCATGATTAAAAATCTAAAATATTAAAAAAATCTCAGTTAAACTGAAGTCTGAGTGGGTGAAATGTTGCTTCAGTCATAGTTCTGGGTCAGAAAGGTGAACCGTCTCAGTCCCTGCTGGTGAAAAACATCCCCACAGCATGATGCTGCCACCACCRTGCTTCACTGTGGAGGTGTTCTCAGCTGGTCAGTTTGCCTCTGTGTTTTAGTCTCATCTGATCAGAACACTTGTGCATATTTAAGGACGTAATTCCATTTTTTCATTTTGTTTTTTTAATGTCTCTGTCAGGGCTGTCTTTAACCTCCTGGATGTTTCTCTGATTGCCTCACTTGTTTCAAGAGCTTTGATGGACAAGCCTCTGCAGATTTAACAGAGCTCCATGAGAGACTCAAGGTTCAGGATATATATATTTTATACACCAGCCCTGAGCTGTACTTAACTTCATCTTTGGAGAGTTCCTCGGTCTTCATGATGACTCCTGCTTAGGAAGCTCCTTACTGCTCAGAGGTGTCGAATCTTTATCACAACAAAGAAAGGTTTTCTGTGAAAACTGCAGTGAAATAATATATAGTAAATGTGGGGGGGTCCAAACTAATTTGATTTATGTGCAGGGGACACTTCCCTTTCTCAAATAATTACCATGATGCCTATGGCCTGTTTGTCATTTTCTTTTAAAAAGTCAAAGCAAACATTTTAAAAACATTTACAAAGAAAAAGCTTTCTCAGTTTTAAAGCCACCTCCTCTTATTTGCTTGAAAAAAAAACCTAATATAATTATAAATACTCAAAACTGGAAATAAAGAATAAAACAAGCACAATTACAAACTGCATTTATTAATTATCCCAACCTATTCAATTATTTACTTTTTCATGATGTTAGTTTTAATAAATATGATTTTGGTCTGAGAGAAAAGTACTTTGAGAAAACCCACTCCTGCACAGGGAGATGATGTAAACACAACCTAAAATTTTGATCTTAGCAACCTTCTTCTTTAGAGGCAACATGTTGCTCTGACAACTGTGCTGCCTAATTTTATATTTATAATTATTTTAATAATTTATACAATTATTGTAAATATATACCTATATGCCCCCTCACACTGTGACTGCTGGATATGGGCACCAGTGACCCTGAAAGGAAGAAGCAGGTATAAATAATGGATGGATGGTAGAAAAATGGTGAATGGCTTGAACTTATATAGCACCTTATCAAATCCACATGGACTCTGAAGTGTTTTACACTTCAGACATTCATCCATTCACACTGATGGTGGTAAGCTACATTGTAGCCACAGCTGCACTGAGGCACACTGACAGAGGCGGGGCTGCCACGCAGCGGCGMCACCGGACCCTCTGACCACCATCAGTAGGCAAGGCGGGTGAAGTGTCTTGCCCAAGGACACGACTTAAGATAGCTGGAACTGGGGATTGAACCGGTGACCTTCCGGTTTCAGGACGAGATGAAAACCTGAGGTCATAATTTAACAAAAAAAACAAAAACCTTTGCAGCTCACTTCACACTCAGCATTTCCTCTGCAGCTGAACCTGATCGACTAACAGATGTTAGCAGCTGGAAAAGAAGAAAACTGAGTCAGGGTTTCAGAGCCTGTAACATATTAGAAAGATTGAGGATCTGGGAAGTCCAGTTCCACCTCTTATTGATTTGCCTCAGATTCTCCTTTACACATTAATCTAATCTTTTCAGATCCTGTAAAGCTTTTTAACAGCAAGAAGTCGACGTATCTAAAGGAACCGTGTGCTGGAATGTCTAAATGTCTAATATTTCTTCTCTCCTCCGTTAAAAAAAGTTAAAACTTGAGACATAAATGTTTCTGATTACCAGAAAAGACAATAAAAAAGAAACCTTTAACATGAGAACTTTGTTTTATTGGATCTAAGAAGCTCAGGAAATGTTTACATTACTGACAGTGTTGTAGTCAAGACCAGACCATCACAAAGTGGTCTCAAGACCAGTCTTAAGACCAAGACCAGTCTGGCGGACTACAACACTGCTGCCAGAAGTCAGAAAACATACTTTACATTTACACAAACCTGCAGTAATAAATGTCTCTGTGAAGTAAAAACCTGTTTATATTCTTGGTTAACTCTTTTTAAAACCTTTAGTTCCTTTTAAACTGTTACCTTTTTAAAAATTTCCTCAATAGAAAAACGTTTTAACGTCCAAATAATGAATATTTTAAATCCTTTTTGAAGCCTGAAAATAATTTATGTTTTAATTTGAAGTCATTTACAGACTGACAGGCTTCCACATCTGCTCGTCAGTGGCTTTTTAAATGTAAAAAACAAACAAACGACACACTCAACAGACGTTTGGTTAGCAAACATTAAAAAAAAAAAGCTAAAACAGCTTAAATACCAGCTTCGGGATTAAACGTGAACATCCTGAACTGACGTAAAAATCAATGTGAGGAATGTTTAAATTAGATCTGAATATGTGACAAAAGCAGCAGCTAAATCTTTAACGTGTGGTCCTGCTGGTGATTTATTATTGTTGTTATTTCTCCTCCCAGTTTGAACAGTTCGGATTTCCGTAATCTGATGTTGCGACACGATGTGGACGAGTGCAGCCGTAGATCAGAACAGTTTGACCATGCTCTCTCTGGACTTTCCCACTCCGACCCACTTCACTGAAACGAGAAACGACAAATAAAACACAAACTGTGACTGGCAGCTTTGGCACTGCTTTCTCCATTAATCAGAAACCATCTCTCTCTCTCAATCTGCGGACCTGGCACTTGAAGGAAGTCCTCGATGAACCGAATGTAGCTCTGAGCCGGAGGAGGCAGCTCCTCGAAGCTGCGGGCCGACTCGGTGCTGCAGCACCAGCCGGGCAGCGTCTCGTAATCCACACACACACGCGTCAACACGTCCATATTGGCTGCAGCAGGAAGAGAAAAACTATCTTTACTGTCTGCTGGCAAATCTGCACGAGTCCAGACAACTGATTTGATTTGATTTATTGATTYAACAGGAAAAGATTACTAAAAATCAAGCCTGACTCAGCATAATTGCTGTTTTACAGCAGGTTCCTGTTCTGCAGCACATAAAACACTCAGAAATACAACATCAC